GTTCATCTCCTAATTATCTTTCAAGACACTCTTTCACCTTCTCTGTAAACTCTTCTTTGTACCATTAGAAATAATTGGCCACTTTTTTTTTGTTGGTTGATGGGAAACTCAATCTATTCTCTTATGGTCCCTTCCTGAATGTGTTTGCTTATATTTCTGTTTGCTTTTGCCAAATGATACAAAGATCTTTTTTTGTGGCTTTTGTCATTTTATTTTCTTTTTAAAATTTTTCATTCTGGCCATAGTGGCATAAGCAGTCAAATAGAGTAAGAATTCAGTAATTGTTCTTGGGCAAATGAATGAATTTCATGTAACAAGTGATTCTTTAAAAATATTATTAAACAGCTCAATGACTAAAATTATTCTTTTGACTTAATTAAAACTTTCTCCTAGCTATTTCAAAAAATCAGATTAGTTTTCAACTGATAGATATGTGCTATCATTTAATTCAATAAAAAAACCTACTAAATCTAACGTCAATTTTTTAAAAAAAAAACCCAAAAAAGTTCCCAAATAAATTGAAAATCCTTAGTGCTGTTGGAATAACTACACTGATACATTTTTCTTCTGTTCCTTCAAGACTGTACATGCATTATTTTTACTGTGAGTTTTTTGTTTCCCTCAATAGAGTTAGTGACCTCAATCTAGAATTATTTTCATTTTATTTCATTTCCATTAAAAATAGTTATTTACCATTTTTCTAGGTGCCTATAGCATTCTTTATATATTTTTTAACATATATCTATTACACTATAGTTGATTATACATTTCATTACTAGACTGTACACTTAAGGATAGAAACTTTGTTGTTTAATAATATATGACATAGATTTGACTACATATTTCAATCATGATAATATACCCCAAATATATTATCTCATCTTAATAACAAAAAAATGAAACAAATATTGTCATCCTTTTTTAAAGATCAGAATATTGAGGTTACAAAGCTTAATTAACTTGCCCCAGGTCCCACAATCAGTAAATGACAGAACTAGTGCTCAGACTTATTCTCACTCCAAAGCTGATGTTTTTACTGTGATTTCTATACTATTTCTTAAAACATATAAAATGCTTGGCAGAGTATTAATATTCTATAAGTAGTTCTTTCATCTTAAATTAAAAAAAAAGTTCTACTCCATTCTCTTACCAGCAGCCACCCCATTTTTTCCCCTCTGCTTTAGTGCAAAACCCTTCCAGAGAGTTGTATATATTCACTTTCTTCAGTTTTTTTTTTCTCTGCTTTAAAATATACTCCAATTAGGCTTTCATCTCTTCTGTTTCACTGAAATTGCCCATTAGAGTCACTAGTGACCTGCATAGTTAATCTAATGTTAGTTTCTCAGTCTTCATCTTACATGATCTATTTAGGAGCATTTGGCACTGTTGATCTCACCCTCTGTCTTGAACTATGCTCTCTTCTTGGCTCCCATATTCTTTTTGCTTTCCTCCTCCTGTACTGGACATTCCTTCTCTATTTTCTTTTCTTTCCCCAGACTGATCATGGTCTTAGCACTTATGCCTCTTTTCTGTTGTATTTACCTTTCTCCTTTAGCTTTCTCTTATCATCACATAGCTTTAAATGATGTCTATATGTCAGAATCTCCAAAAATTATATCACCAACACAGGCATCAGTCACAAACTCCACACTTACACATTCAGCATGTCTAAAACAGTACTCTTAAGCTTACATTCCAAACTTGTTCCATCCATGGATAGCCACCCTGGACTATCATTTTCAGTGCCAGTTGTTCAGGTCACATCTTTACCCTGAATCTCCTTCTCTTAGATCCCATGTCCAGGAAATCCTACAGGCTCTCCCTTCAGAATATTTCCAGACTCTTTCTTCTCATCACTTTCTTTGGTCTAGGCCCTCATTTTCTCTCCCCTGAATTACCACAGTAGCTATATAATGGTCTCCCTACTTCCCTTGCACCGCTATAGTCCTTCTCACACAGTAGCTAAAGTGACTTCTTTTAAAATGTAAGTCAGGCTATGTTATTATTCTGTTTGAAAGTCCTGAAATGGCTTCCTGTTTCACAACACAAAAATCCTTACAATGCTGTATTGTCAAATATCAGTATTAAAAGGAGAGTTCTAAACATTGTGACTTTATTAAATCTCCCATTTTTCACTATGAAAAACTTACTCTGGTCTTAGGGAAACTATCTCATATAGAAGGAAAAAAGTTTCAGAAAAATTTTCGTGTTTATTCATTTTTTCAGCAGTAGAGTAAGGTAAATATATGGTTAAAACTTGCAGTCTGTGCCAGCTGCTTGCATAAAAAGAAGCAATTCAACTTCACTTACTGATTTGTCCCTTTAAGTGTTTTTCTCCTTTTTTTGGTCCAAAAGTTCATTCCTTTGATTTTTCGATAGCTGTGTAGAAGGTTAAAAGAGAGATTTTCCAATGAATGTGAGATTATTCTGGCTTTAAAAATCCATAGGTATTCAAGAAATGAATAAATAACTATTCAGAGAGCATGTATTCTTTCCTAGAAGAATTTATTCTTATTAATAAAAAATGACAAAATGGAGATTGACAGTAACTATCCACTGTAACTTATTGAATTTTTGTCATTCTTGAGGTGAAAGCTCACTAATAAGTGAAGTTAGACATGAAGAAGCCAGACTCAATGAGAAAAAGAACACTCTAGATTAGGTGAGGAATACAGTGAAATTATAGCTTTCATTCTAGCACAGACACATGAAAACTGAATGGAAAATCAATTACAAGTAAAAGAGAGAACATTCAAGAAATTACTGTGCATTCCACAAGAACATCAACATTTTATGTTGAGTTTCAGAACTTCTTCTAAGCTGAGAAGCATGTCCACATTGTCTTAAGTGGATATTATGAGTGTGAAAGAATATGAAGGTAAAGAAAGACTTTTAAATATCTAAATATAAAACAAATTAATTTTTTAATAATCTAAACTTTGCTAATCTTGAAAAAATAGATTTTCTTTACCATAGTCTTCATTTTTTTTCCCTTCCCTACATTTAACTAGATTTAAATTTCATCTGTCTACAATGGCTAATATAAATTATTACTCTATTGATTGAATAATGAATGTATTACTGATGTATTGCTACCATTTGCCACCTATTGTCTTATTCAATGTTTGATCCATTATGTGGATAAGGAAAAATGAGGCTTATTAGTCATAGGGCCGATATTTGAATGCAAATATATCCAGATCCAAACTTCTCACTTGTCCTCTCCACACAGCTTACATATTGACATCTCAGAATTAATATTAAGCAAATATATCATGCCTTAAACTACACATATTACCCCATCTCAATTTCCTTTTTATTTTATATTTCTGTATCAGTTAAAGTTATCAACTATAACATAATCTAGAAGCCTAGAATTCATCTTTAATTCTTCATTGTCCTATTCGACTAATATGCTGTCAGTCAAATATTAGTTATTCATTTTACCTCTAAAATAGCTCTTCTGTCTTCTCTCTTGTTAGCTGCTTTATTGCCACCCAGGATCTGGGGTTCCTTATCACAGGGAAGAGCATATTGGGGAGATGGGTGTGTACTTCCTCAAAATCAGTATGGTCACTAGCTGAATTGACACCTCATTATTTCTTAGGCTGGATACTGACGCCCCCCGCCACTCATAAAAGGGGGTCACCAATGTCTTATTTGACACTTTGAGTAAAGACTTCTCCCTAATATCCAGATTAGACAGCCAACTGCTACTGTGAGAAAATGCTCAATATTAACTGAGGCTTCAACTCAGTCAGCACCTTCCAATTGAACATTGGCTTTGGTCATCATCAGTCCTCTCCTAATTACCTACTGCTTAAACAATTTGATGTCAAAGTTCAACTGGGAATCACAAGGCCAGTGGATTCTGTTTATACTCCTCATACCTAATACCATCAGATATCATACAATAAAAGCTGTCCCATTTGCTCTTCCAGTCACTTTTTTTCTTTTCCCATCCCTTGGTGAAGCGGCTCCTGTGAGTCTTCACTTTGCTAACCTCTGTTTAGTTTTTCCATTTCTTCCTAGCATTCTCATTTTCTAGCAAACATATAAATTTCTTGATGTCTTTCATTTCCTTGTCTCACAAATAGATTCTCTCCTAAATGCCATACTTGTCTTGATATTCTTATAATAGAATCTGATCATTTCTATATAACTGAGATGACTCCAAAAAGGAAAGAAAAGTATCCTTCTCCCTACCCTCCATTAGAGACCTCAGATCACACTCTCAACTTTCTGTCAAAGCTTTTTCTTTTTGGACACTTATGCCACCCAGGTGTACCCCTCCCAGTCTTTATAGTATCATTTGTAACCTCACCTTGACCTATCCAGAAATTGGTATGTCCATTATGTTTTAGCAATCATCCCCCAAAAGCCTGGGGATCTCTTACCCAGAATGGTTCACATTTAAAATCATAAACAACTCTCTATACTTTTAGCTGTCTTGTTCAAATATTCCCTTTTGCCATTAAGAAAAAACTCAAATTCCCTTGCCTGGCATACAGAGTTCTTAAGCATTCTGGCAACTACCTACCTTTTTCAATGACATCCTCTATAACTTCCCCAACCAACTTGACCACATCTCTCATTCTAGCCATAATGAGCTACTCACCGTTTCTCAGCTACACTTAATCTTTCCGTGAATGAATGACCTTGTCTATGTACTTTTCTCTTCTTGGAATATTCTTTTCCAAATCTCCATCTAATTATAGCCAACTTACTCTTTAAGACCCATTTCAAGTTATTTCCTTCCTTCCCTCATTCCCTCATTCTTTCTTCTGTGTTTACAAAGAGTAAATGCATAAGTCATTATAAATTTTAAAAATAAGCTTACATGTCAAAATTATAATTAAAGCAATCCCCATTGATTGAATAACCCATCTCATTACTCTATGTATTTCTGCCATATTTCCATTTTTACAAGATCAAACACAAAAGTTCAAAAGGATCCATTGTAACTGGGTAGATAATCTACTTTTTTCTTTTATTTTAAGGATCAATTTTCCTCTTGAAATAAAGTCACTTCCAAGGGAATCCATGCTCACTATAAGATTGTTTGGGATTGTCTATGCAACCAATAATGCCAATTTATTGGCTTGGACTTGTCTTCCATTGTTTCCAAAAGAGTAAGTATATCATTTGTTCTTAATAAATCTCTCATATCAATAAAAAATCTCCTTGGAAATGACTATTTTGCAGTATGTGGAATAATGAGAAAATCAAGAAGACATTTTATTCCAAAATTGAAGTAGCTCAATATAAATCATGACTATTGAAAGTGGAACTGAAAAGCAAAACTGTAGAAATGGCTTTAGAAACAGGCTTCATGCTCAACTTGTCAACTGTGTCATTTATAATAAAAAGGTATTGGCATGACCAATTTCAATTGCTTTTCCTTCTCTGACCAGCCAATTTCTCTGTCATTAGTAATTCAGAACGACTTAGATCAATACTGTCATTTAGAAACAATGTGAGTCATGGAATTCTGGCTGAAGTAAAATTATACAATGTAACTGGTCTGCTGATCTTTTATTGCCAAGAAGAAAATATTTGGTAACTTTAAGATGAAATTTTTCAGAAAAGTAAACCAACTATGAGTTCAGATATTCTATCAGAACTAATAGCCATTGCAAAATTAACTGTTGACTTAACCATAAGGATTTGGAAAAATTAATACTTAGAATATTGATAAAGTCAATTACATGGTTTTCTATACTATTAAGGAAAAAATATTTCGATTAAATCAGCTTAGTTATTTTTCACATGGCAGGACTTGCTTTACAATCGAATTATAAAATACAGGACCTTCAAAAAACTAGAGTGTATATTGCTATTTTAATAGTTACAAAGAATGTTTATAACACAAAATGTGATAATATAATAATATAAATAATATAAAAATGCTAAGAAAATTCTTCATCAGTTTTTGTTCCCAAATTTAGTCATTACAAATAAATTATGATCCAAACAATTGTGGTAAATCTTTAAGATCATCTTTGTTGGATTAATTCTGATCTGGTGTGTGTGTGTGTTGCTCTATTTTTTGTTTTCATGTGTCCATTTCCTCGTTTATGTTTCTTGATGACAGTAATATATTTATCTTCGTAATATCTGTCATCTAATATTGTAGCTCTTTTTTTTTAATTTTATTTATTTATTTATTTGACAGAAAGAGACACAGCTAGAGAGGGAACATAAGTTAGGCGAGTGGGAGAGGGAGAAGCAGGCTTTCTGCAGAGCAGGAAGCCCGATGCGGGGCTCGATTCCAGGACCCCGGGATCATGACCTGAGCCAAAGGCAGACACTTAACAACTGAGCCACCCAGGTGCCCCTAACATTGTAGCTCTTATAAATAGGCGATCAGTGGAGGTTTGTTTATTAAATTGAACCAGAAAAAAATCAAACCCTATAGGAGATTTAGAATAAAGTAAAATTTCAAAAGTCTATAAGTAACTGTTTAGCCCTCAGGTGCCTGGCTGGCTCAATCGGTAGAGCATGCGACATTTTTTTTAAAGATTTATTTACTTATTTGAGAGAGAGAGAGAAAATATGTGGGGGGGGAGGGCAGAGGGAGAGAGAATCTCAAGCAGACTACCCACTGAGCATGGAGGCCAAGGTGGGCCTCTGTATCATGACCCTGAGATCATGACCTGAGCCGAAATCAAGAGTTGGATGCTTAACTGACTGAGCCATCCAAGTTCCCCCAGCAGGCAACTTTTGATATCAGGGTTGCAGGTTCAAGCCCCATGTTGGGTGTAGAGATTATTTAAAAATAAAAATTTAAAAAAAAGAAATAGTTTAGCCCTAAAAGGAATACCTACTGCTGTTAGCAGATATTTCAAAAATCTTATTTGTGGGCTAAGAACTTTCATTACTTTCTCACTAGGAGCAGCTCTGCAAGTGCCCTTTCTTCTCTCGAGTGAGTTTCTTTAAAGTTTCAACTGCTGTATTTGTAACATCTAGCATGTTTGTAGAATAAAATTTCTAGCTATTCACTGAAAAAATTCAGTCCATTTTATTCCCTTCCATCATCTAATACATTACTTTGCACATAACATGCAATTAATAAACATTAAATATATAAGAAGTTTGGAATATATCTTTCAGACTAATCTTCAAGGTTTTTTTCTAGATGGTTATGATAGTAAAAATACTGCCTCCATGTTGTTTTGTCGTGTATCATTTACCATTAGTAAACATTTTTATGTGAGTGCTCATCTGGAACTGATACTAGGTGGTGTTTTCCTAAGGGAAAGAGATTGAAATTGTGGATGATGAGACATCACGTCAGAAAACAAAGCTTACTTCAAAGAGCACTTTGATAAGCATTTGTAAATATATTTCTAAAAGAGCATTTCTCATGAAAAATCAGAAAATCTGCTTCTCTCCTGGGCTAAACAATTTGAAGAAATCCAGATCTTTTCAAGCCATCAAAAATCCGTCACGTAGGGCAATTAGGGAATGTGATGACTCCCACTGTGTTCATTGCTCTGAGTGACAGAGATTTTAACCCAATTTATTTGATGCAGATATTTCCAGATCACAGCAAACAGGTCACTTAATTTCATTTCCTTTCATGGAATGACCCCTGTCCATAAACATTTCATATTAAATCTGTCACTTATTACAGTTTGAATTGCTCATACCTAACCATGTGGAGCTGTCATGAGCACTTATATCTATTTTTCCAACCTACACACAACCTGAAAATATGCCGAATTAAAGGCTTCCTATCTCTTTGTGGTTTCCAAAAGTGGTTTTCAGAAGAACCAATGGGTGATTAAATTCAAATACATCAGTTATGGCTGCACCAGGAATGTCCACAAATAGAAATAAACTTAAACATTTTGAAGCACACAAATTCACCTTCAGATCTATAAAAACCATCCAAAGTACAAAGGTAAAATTTTGCCCACAGAAGTTTTATAATCTTCTCTTTTGCAAATGGAATTTCCATTGCAGCTATATTCACAATGCCTCCATACTGCAATAAGAAAGTGCTTTTCTTATTTCAACAATTTCTGTGAGCTAGCTTCCCTACTTAAGTTCAAAACAAATAGTGTGGTAGTTACTTAGTGTTTCTAAGTTGTGATAAACTCCTTCAACACAAAAGTCCTCAACATTGAATAATAGATTCTCCTGGGGAGATTTTAAAATAAATCCAAAACCTAAATATTCCCAAATATTGATTTAATTGATCTGCAGTGGGGTCCAGGTATTGGTATTCTCAAAGCTCTCTGGGTGTGTTAAAGACCAGAAAAATTAAAATATTTTCAGATTTTCAAAAGAGACCCAAAATAAATCTTAATTTCAAAACAACTTGATTCCTTAGATTATTGCCTAAGTAGCCAACCCTGACCCCACTGTATCTTATCATTTCAGATATATCCTCAAAATCAAAATAAAAAAGGTTGTGGATGGGAAGTCCTTATTATCTATCCTTCCTGTCCAAAAGAGACCCACAGAGCTCAAATACTACAAATACCTCATTTACAGATGAAGATCTCTATGATAAAGGAAGGTTAAGGGACTTTTTATAAGTCACCAGCCTAGAATAGAACAAGAACCAGAATGCAAGTCTGACTTCTCTCTACATGTGTTACTACCTTAAGTTGCCCCCCTTCCTGCCCTTAGGTGTCACAACTTGCTCCACGAATGCACTGGGACAATCTCAACAATATACAAGAAGCTCCTGCCTCAGCTTTGCCTGTGCTCTGCTCTTGGGCATGAAACCTATTAGACCTATGATCAGCAAAATCCCAGAGTTTTATAACATCAGATCCTATGGACATGCTTGCTGCCCATATCCGGAGTCTTTTCTATTCTTGGTCCCAGAATGCCGAGCCATGATGCACATAAAATCCTATAACTAAAAGTGACAATAATTATTTTATTCAAACCATTTATTTCATAGCTAGAGGAACAGGGGTCCAAAGAGGGTAAACCAGCCAATCTGTTCTGGTGCCACAGATTTGAGGTTGGTTTTTCTAGGCATAAGAATTTATACAATATTGAAATCAAATAGATCCTTAAGGATATGCCAGAACAAATATTTTGAAATCTTATATTTAGCAGTGTGGCCCTTTTTCTAATGGTATCTAATTCAAAATCTCAGAGTATAAGAGTGATGACCAGTCCATGTGTTTTGTTGGGTGATGAATGGGAAAAGGGGAGAATTTAAAATCCTGGCATCCAATCTATTTGCCATCTCCTTACCACCTTTCTAACATGCACCTCCAACCATCAAGCCATATGAAGACAAATATAAAACTCCTTTAAAAACGACTGATTTTATCCAAGAAGTTCAAAGAAGTGAAACTTAGCCTACCTTATGAAGATGGGGTACAGATGTCTTGAAATAGTCTGATTTTTTTTCACAAAAGAAACTGTTTCCCATTTCCTATCTTCATCATGTTTTTAATTGTTTGCTTAATTTTAAATTGACTTAATAAACCTTCTAACAGTAGTAATATAAAAACTACTGTGGTCCCCACTGGCCTGGGTATTAAAAGTTTCCATTTTCATCTTCTTCCTGAGACCACCATCTTAGATGTGTTTTCTTCACATCTTAATTCCACTGATCATCTTCATCATCCCCATATTTTCTATTTACAGAAGTCTTGGGAATTTATTAGAGATTAATATCTAACTAATTAGAGATTAATATCTAATATATGATATTAATATATTAGAATATATTAGATATTACAAATACCTATTTGTAGAGATATTTGCAATATCTCAAAAGATGTTTAAGTACAATCCATTATCAGAAAGTAAATTAGCTGGGGCACCTGGGTGGCTCAGATGGTTAAGCGTCTGCCTTCGGCTCAGGTCATGATCCCAGGGTCCTGGGATCGAGTCCCGAATCGGGCTCCCTGCTAGGCGGGGAGCCTGCTTCTCCCTCTGCCTCTACCTCTCTCTCTCTCTCTGACTCTCATGAATAAATAAATAAAACATTTAAAAAAGAAAAAAGAAAGTAAATTAGCTAATATTAAACATACAGAGAGCCCAAAGAATGGTGACAAACATCCTTTCCCTCTTGAATTGCCTTGAAACATGGGGTATATAAGCCTCACTTGGACAGCTAGAAGTTTATTCTCCCTATTCTCTATTGCTTGGTAAG